GGGCGGCAGCAGCAGCAGCAACAGTAGCAGCACCGCCTTGGTTACCTACGCATACATACCAGCAGCCCGATCAGCAGCAGCGCCAGTTAGAACAGAAGCAGCAAATGGCATCGAAGACAAAAACATATATTTAAGTACTACATTTAAGCAAAAACAGCAGAGGAAGGCGCTGCAGCAGCAATCATACTATTCGCTGGCGTTCCCAGCACCAGCAGCACGTGCTGGCTACAGCAGCAGCAGCAGCAGCTGCTGCTGCTGCAGTTGCTGCTGGGGGCCCACGATTGTGGGGCCGCAGAAGGCCCGAAGAAAAAGGAAATAACTTTTGTCTTTGAATTTATTTGCCTTTATTTGTGTTCATTGGCGTAGAAGGCTGCAATTACTGCTGCTGCTGCTGCTGCTCCCGCCAGCGTCTGCACCAAACCCACGTCTCGATCCTTGCGCCGAAGCAAGCGACTTCAGTGACCACAAGCAGCAGCAGCAGCGGCAGCAGCAGCGGCAGCAGCAGCGACGCGAGTAACAGCAGCAGCAGCAGTAGCGGCGCTGCTTACGGGACACACGCCGCCCTCACGAGCGTCCAAACCCTACACCAAACCCTAAACCCTAAACCCTAAACCCTCGGAAAATGGCAACTGGAAAGAAGCAGACAGAAAGCGAAATGCTGGCCGAAAAGCTGCTGCAGGGCTGGACTATGCTGAGCGAAAATTGCCCCTACGTGAGAAGCAAACCCCAGTCTGTAAACCCCAGCCTTCCCATTTCAAGGGTTTAGGGTTTAGGGTTTGGGGTTTGGTCTGGGATTTGGCAATGAGGTGAAGCCCAAACCCTAAGGGAGAGTATTTGGCGCTGCAGGTGTGCGGTTTGGGGTGTATGTTCAGTGCAGCAGAGTCCCCCTGATGCGGCAGAGGCAAGGAAAGGACTGGTGCGTCGCCTGCAGCAGATTCGCCCCCACGAACCCGGCGCAGCAGCAGCAGCAGCAGCAGCAGCAACAGCAGAAGCAGCAGGATGAGGAGGAAGACGAGACGAGCGACAGCGGCAGCGAGAAGTCCGAGCGACTGGCATCGGCAACGGGTATTGCCCACTGCTTCAAAACCTGCTGCTGTTGCTGCTGCTGCCGCTGCTGCTGCTGCTTAATGTGCTATGCATCTCCATTTGCTGCAGTAGCAGCTGCTGCGTGGAGCGCTGCTGCTGTGATGGTCTGTGCAGAAAGCTGCTGTGCTGCTTCGGTTTGCTGTGCATTTCCGTGCTGGATGCTGCAGCCGAGCTGTGGCTTCAGTGCAGCTGCAGCAATTGCTGCTGCTGCTGCAGCTGCTGCAGCTGCTGCTGCTGCTGGTGGCGTGCGGTGTTTGTACAGGGGAACCCTTCGAGCTGCGTGGCTCCTTCCGATTGCAGGCGACACCAGAAGAGCGTCTTGCTGCTTGCAGCGCAGCACTGAAGAGGGAGGGCGAAGCAGCAGCAGAGGCGCTGAAGCAGCAGCACCAGCAGCAGCAGCAGCAGCAAGAGTGTAGCCCAGCCTCCACAACAGCAGAGAGCGTCTCCACGGTGAGACTTCGGGGAGGCTGTGTTGGTCCGGGGATTACGGTCTAGGGTTTACGGTCTAGGGTTTAGGGTTTAGGGTTTAGGGCTGCAGTGAGCGTTTGCTGCTGCAGCCTTCTGAAGAGCTTCTGCGCTGGGGCAACGAAGTCTTGGGCAGCCGACGCCAGCAGCAGCCACAGCAGCAGCAGCAGCTGCAGCAGCAGCAGCAGCAGCAGCCGCAACGGCAGCAGCAGCAG